GGGCGCCGGCTGGCCGTGCGTGAGGGCGGCCGCAGCCGCGGGCGCGGGCGTCGCCTCGGTGGGCATCGGGGTGGGAGGGAGGCGGCGGTGGGAGGGTCTCCCGGCGCCGGGTCTGGCCGCCGAGGGTGGGGAAAGCATGTCCATTTCGGTGCTGGGAGGCGGTGGCTGGGGATTTTGATGGACAGGGATGTGATGTGTTTGGGAACATCTGGAAGGTGACAGGCAAAGGGATAGGACCCGGGCTAGGGAATTCGGATTGTGACGTGCACCCAGGGTCCCACGCACCCTGCGGCTCGGTCCCCCCTGCCCCCAGCGCTTTGGCTTGCGCAACCGGGAGGTTCATCTCACCTGAAGCTGCCCTTCCAGGTTTCCATAGCAACTGCAGCCCGCGCAGAGGGGAGCCCGTGGATGCTGAAGCTGCTCACCCTTGGCTCTCCTGGTAGCGACACCTTTAGTGAGTGGGAGTGGAGACTGCCCACGTTCTGTCTCAGACCTGTTCTTGACACTCAGGTTTCCCTTTGGAGTATATGCAGAATTTTGCCTGTGTGTGCGTTTTTCTGAGGACAGGCTCTATATATTCCATTCTGTTCACCAAAGGGTTCATCATCCCCAAGAGGTCTGGACTGTCTTTGGCTTGGACTACCTGGCATTCCCCATATCATCCCTCTCTCCACAAAAATGTGTCCTTGTGGGCGAGCTTGTCTTTACAAGGCTGATATCAGGATTTCATATTATCCTTAATAGACACATTAAAAAGACTTTCTGTGACCTTGTTTTTCCATCTCTAGGAAACACTGGCAAACTTGGAGAGACAGATCTATGCTTTTGAAGGAAGCTACCTGGAAGACACTCAGATGTATGGCAATATTATTCGTGGCTGGGATCGGTATTTGACCAACCAAAAGTGAGTGTCAGAAGCCAGTAATGTTCCTGTTGTGCCCTAGTAATATTTGTTTGGAGGACAGTGTTCTTGGTAGCAACTTTGCAGAGAGGCAATAGTAAAAATGATGGTATGAAAAGAGGTCTGGGTTTGAACTTGGCTTCTGACTCACTTCTGTCACTGCCACCACCTCACTGAGTAACCTTGGACAGAGCCCACATTTGTAAATGGGGAAGTTGGCCCTATCAGCAGAGTTGTGTGAGGTTTAAATGAAATACAGCATATGCCAGTACCTTATACAACAGCACTCTATTGGTATTTTCCACATTTCCACCCTCAGTCTGCCATACCTGTATGCCAATTTTACCACTATTTACTTAATAATATTCTGTAAAAAGTTTCTAAAGTTTTGGAAAATTTTCAAACCTAGAAAAATTGATAGAATATGGTACATGAACATTTTTTATCCTTCACCTATACTCACAAATTGTTAACATGTTGCCACATTTGTGCTGTTATGTGTTCTCTTCTTCTGTGATATAAACACCTACATATACTTAAGATTTTTTTTTTAATTTGAATAATATTTTATTATTTGAAATAATTATAGATTCATGGGAAGTTGCAAAAAATGGTATACAGAGGTCTCATGTACCCCTTCACTCAGTTTTCCCCAGTGGTTGCATTTTATGTAACTGTAGTATATTATTAAAACCAGGGATCAACATGGGTACAATGTGTATATATAGTTCTATGGCATATTATCACATGTGTAGATTCATATAACCATAGTCAAAGTACAGAACTATTCAATCACCACGAAGCTCTCCCTTATGCTATTCCAGATATCATGAGACTTTGCACCTAATTATGTCAACGGTTACCTCCAGAGAACAAGAACATTTCTTCTACCATTGTATGGCTACACAATGATCATACTTAGAATATTAACAATGCTAATGTATTATTAACATTATGTGTAATGTTAGTAGTATCATCTGTTATAGTCTTTCTTCAGATTTCCTCAGTTGTCCTGAAAATGCTTTGCTTTAATCCAGCATCCAGTCAGTATTTCAGTATTAAGTCTCTGTAGTCTTAATATTTAGGAGTCCCTCTCTTTTTTTTTTTTTTTTTTCAGCAGTGCTTTACTGCTGAGCCACATCCCTAGGCCTTTTTATTTTTTGTTTTGAGACAGGTCTTACTAAGTTGCTGAGGCTGGCCTTGAACTTGTGATCCTCTTGCCCCCTCCCAAGTTGCTGGGATTATAGTTGCGCACCACTGCTTCTGGTGCTCTCACTCTTTTTGTAGTGGTAGTCATGACATTGTCCCATAGAATGTTCTAGTTCACACTTTTCTTATTGTGACCTCATGAGCAATCCTTTAAAGATTTTTGGCAAAAACAAAAAAAAAGAGAGAGGAGAAAGAGCCGGGCCGGTGATGTATGCCTGTAATCCCAGCAGCTTGGGAGGCTGAGACAGGAGGATGGCTAATTCAGAGTTAGCCCCGGCAACCACACAGCACTAAGCACCTTAGTGAGATTTGTGTGCCTTTTGTTATATGTCTATTATCAGGAGGCACATACTGCCAGATTGTCTAATTATTGGTGCTGCTGAGATTGGGCATATAATATCTCTGCTGTAAAAGTTCACCTCCTATGGTGATTAGAAGGTTACTCTTTAAGATATTATGAATATATTGCTTCCCCCAAGTTTTTATTCAGTAGTTTTACTATATATTACTGATTTTACCAACATTGGTTTTTATACTGGAAGTTGTAAAATGATGATTTTCTAATTTTATTATTTCCTTTACATTTTTTGTTTCAAAATATATTTTTTAGTTGTCAATGGACCTTTATGTTATTTATTTAAAATGGTGCTGAGAATCGAACCCAGTGCCTCACACATGTTAGGCAAGTGCTCTTCTACTGAGCTACAACCCCAGCTCTCCTTTACATTTATTGTTGGTATTCTGAAAGAAAAGTCTTAATTTTTTTTATTCTGTTCCTTTTGTTCTCTCTCTCTCTTTTTTTCCCCTTGGTACTGGGGATTGAAATCAGGGGCACTTGACCCCTGAGCCACAACTCCAGCCCTGTTTTGTATTTTATTTAGAGACAGGGTCTCACTAAGGTGCTTAGTGCTGTGTGGTTGCCGGGGCTAACTTTGAATTAGCCATCCTCCTGTCTCAGCCTCCCAAGCTGCTGGGATTACAGGCATACATCACCGGCCCGGCTCTTTCTCCTCTCTCTTCTTTGATTAATAGAGTCATAAATTGAAACAAATTGGCCATATGTGGTACACATCTTGCTGAGGCAAGAGGATCACAAGTTTGAGAGCCTGAGCAAATTCAAGAGATCCTGTCTCAAAATAAAAAATAAAAAGGTCTGGAATGTAGCTCAGTGGTAGAACACCCTTGGGTTACATCCCCAGTACTGCAAAACAACCACAAAAAAAGCCAAAGTAAATCAGTGTTGAAATCTAGTATTGTCACTTTTCTTTTTTATAGAGGCTTATTTTTAGTGAAATATATACAAATAAGTACACAAGTCTTACCACTCATTGCTTTTTCATAATGTAAACATACTCTTTGTTATCCTTTTTGATGTTTTCTTTGTCCCAACTGTAGAGCCTTCTTGAAATGTTTCTTTGTCCTTTTGACATAACTCTGTTAGTCTCTGAGCACTTGTACTTTCTGGCCCAAAAGAGGTCCTAGACTGACCATGTCCTTTTCTTGCCCTAGCCATTTCTCTAAGGAAACTGTTCTTATAAATTAGAAAATTAAGTTTATTTAACAAAGATACTGCATATCACTAGCGTGTGCTGGATTGTGTTCTTTTTCTTTTTTAATAGCATTACTGGTGATTGAGCCCAGGAATATTCTGCCTTTGAGTTAGATCCCCAGCTCTTTTGATTTTTTGTTTTGAGACGGGGTCTTACTAAGTTGCCCAGGCTGACTTTGAATTTACAATCCTGCCTCAGCCTCCTGAGTCACTGAGATTACAGATTTGTGCCACCATGCCTGGGTCTGTGCTGAGGTGTTTTTCTTTCTTTCCTTTTTTTTTTTTTTTGGTGCTGGGTATTGAACCCAGGGTTGTTTAACCACTGAGCCACATCCCCAGCACCCCACTCCCCCCCGCCCTTTTTTTGGAATTTTTTTTTTTTGAGACAGGGCATTGTTAAGTTGCTGAGGTTGGTCTCAGACTTGCAATCCTCCTGACTCAGCCTCCCAAATTGCTGGGATTACAGGCATGTACCACAGTGCCTGGCTGTGCTAGTTATTTTTACTAATAAACATTCAAATAAATTCTTTTTTTTTTTTTTTTTTCTCGGCGTACACAACATCTTTGTTGGTATGTGGTGCTGAGGATCGAACCCGGGCTGCATGCATGCCAGGCGAGCGCGCTACCTCTTGAGCCACATCCCCAGACCCCTCAAATAAATTCTTAATAAAGTAAAATGGGGAGAAGGGTTTGGGCTGGGCGGGCACCTGGTGCCCACCAACCACATATTGGCTGGGCATTAGTACACTATATTTTGATGATAGGCAAGACATGCCTTAAATGTGCTCTAGGCCTCTGAGCCCCTTAAAAGATAGATAGATAGATAGATAGATAGATAGATAGATAGATAGATAGATAGATAGATAAAATGAAAATATTTGTGAAGCAGCTAAAATAATCTCTCTTCCCATAGTGGGGCATATGCCATACATTGGGAAACATTGCTATCTACTTAGGCATTCAACATAATAATTGTTTGGGCCAATCCAGAAGGATTGGAGGCATTCCTGTAAGGAACTTGATTATAAAAAAAAAAAAAGTCTTTTTATATTTGCCCTGGACATCCCCAACTTGAGCCATGGACTTAATTTGATGCTTATAATGAATTTCTTTTGTGTGCTTTTAGAAACTCCAATAGCAAAAATGATAGAAGAAACCGGAAGTTTAAGGAAGCTGAGCGGCTCTTCAGTAAATCCTCAGTTACGTCGGCAGCTGTAAGTGGTAGTGGTTGTGGCTTGGAGGGCGGTGTGTGTTTTCTATGGTATGTAGTTAAGGAAGGTGAGTTTTCTCTTTCCCTTCCTCTCTATATGGAAATGCTCTCCTGAGGTCTGTGGTCACTTTTCTAGTAACTGGTGGCTTTTCTTTTAGGCAGTAAGTGCATTGGCAGGAGTTCAGGACCAGCTCATTGAAAAGAGTAAGTTTATGTTTTCACTTTCCTTGTCGGTTTATTTTTAAGCTGCCACAGTCCCTAAATTTAACTTGTATCCAACTGTGTATCTGCGATCTGCATCACTTAATACTCTGCCTTTTCTATCTAGAAGTTGGGAAGCCTTTTGGGCATCTTTAATCATGCCTTTCTTTGGAGGAAGAAACTACTATACCCTTCTTGCCTCTTCTGTCACATGAAGATTGGCTTTATTGCTCAGAGACACAAAGCTATGTCTTTGCTCCTGATAAGTCTTTTAAATTCTTAGAGATTTTTTAAAAATTTATTTTATAAATATTTTTTAATATTTATTTTTTAGTTGTAGTTGGACACAATACCTCTATTTTACTTATTTATTTTTATGTGGTGCTGAGAATTGAACCCAGGGCCTTGCACATGCTAGGCAAGCACTCTATTGCTGAGCCACAACCCCAGCCAAGGGATTTTTTTTTTAATTAAAAAAACTTTTATGGAAAGTTGCAAACATATAATGAAATCTTAGAACTCAATAATTTTAAATAAATTCTAAGTAGTACCTATGTTTTTAAATATAAAATGGGGAATATGTACCATTTATTTTATTTAAAAATTCCACTATTTTCTGTATGTAAGCCAGATGTCTAATTTTGTTCTAATTTCTAGTGATGAGAGATAGATCTGTACATTTTACTTGCTGAATCAGGCTCTCTGTAGCTGAATTGGGTATCCTCTCTGTGCATGGGATCACTTTGAAATATAACCTATTTTTTGTATTGCACCTGTGTACTTCTTTCAGATGATATATCTTGTTGTAGGATCTAGTTCTCTAGTTTTCCTTGGGGCAGTGTTTTGTGGAAAAGGAATTTTGGTATTTGGGAATTATAACTACTCAGTGATTTCAGTTTCTCTTGTCTTATCTCATACACCTTTCCTGAACTTTAATCCTGCCTTTCCTTTAGACATTTCCATTTGGACTCAAACATTTCATCTAAAACAGAACTGTTCTGTTTTCTTCTATTGTCTGCCTAATTTTTTTGTTATGATACTACTGTTCTCCCTCATTCAGAACTCTTTTACTCCTTTCTGCCATCCTTATCAATTGTACCAAGTCTTTTTGATTTTTCCTTTACTATGACTCTCAGCTGAGTCTTATTATTTAATTTTTTTAATTAATACCAACCTCTCAAGTGTAGAGGAACTTTGTAGAGTACCAAGACTAGTTAAAGAATATGCTGGACCTTTTTTTTTTTTTTTTTGAGGAGAGAGAGAATTTTTAATATTTATTTTTTAGTTCTCGGTGGACACAACATCTTTGTTGGTATGTGGTGCTGAGGATCGAACCCGGGCTGCACGCGTGCCAGGCGAGCACACTACCGCTTGAGCCACATCCCCAGCCCTGGACCTCTCTTCTGAGTTGAGATGGAGTGATGTTGGACTTCTCAGTTTTCACAGGAGCCTGTAATTCTTCCCCTGCTTATGTGATAATTCAGTATGTAGCTCTGTACTTATTTTAGGATATCTATGCCCAGGCCCTTCTCAGGAAAAGACTCTTAAATTAAGTCACTCCTTTCAGAAACTTGACTGAAACAAAAACTTATGTATGAAAGATTTTCTAAAGTGTACGCAGGCCATTCATTCCCCTAAAATCTTTGTTCTGGATGGAGCCACCTGCCTGGGTTGCATCATAACTGCTTTTCTTTGTTTTTTCCCAAAAAGTTATTTTTTCCAAAATTATATACTTTGGTCCCTTAAAATGTCATTGTGTTGTTACAAGGACATTCCAGATGTTGTTTATTATCAAAACTGACTCCTGTAGGAATAGTTCTCCCTGGCCGGGCACAGTGGTGCACACCTGTAATCCCAACAGCTTGGGAGGCTGAGGCAGGAGAATTGCAAATTCAAAGCCATCCTTAGCAACTCAGCGAGATCCTGTCTCTAAATAAAATATAAAAAAAGGGCTGGGGATGTGATTCCCTGGGTTCAATCCCTGGTACTAAAAAAAAAAGGAATAGTTTTCCCTAAATACTTGTTTTTTCTTTTTTAACTGAAAAATCTCTTTTATTTTAATTTTTGTGGTGCTAGGATTGAACCCAGGGCTTGATATGTGCTAGGCAAGCACTCTGCCAGTGAACCACATCCTCAGCCCTTTAAATCTTGTTTGATTGTTTCCATTTGTGTGGTCACTAAAATTCATAAAGCCAAATTTGTGGTCTACCCCCTAGCCCAAGCAAGCAAGTAGGAATTTGTAACATGCATTTTGGGAATGAATCTCAGTGCTGTATCCAGCTTACTTTCCTCTTCTATTTATCATTGATTTACTTATTCATTTATTCTTATTTTATAAAATATTTATTCTGTTGGATAGCATTATATGATTCTTAGTAAGCTGCCTTGAGTTCCTTTTGGAGGAAGGCAGGTATACTGAATTAAATGAATAATGGAGTTCATTAATTCAAATGGTCAGAGCCCTTTTACATAACCCTCTTCATCCCCATATTGGGGATTGAACCCAAGGGTGCAAACTGAGCAATATCCCTAGCCCTTTGTATGTTTTTTATTTTTGAGAGAAGGTCTTTCCAAGTTGTCCAGGCTGATGTCAAGCTTCTTATCCTCCTCCCTCAGCCTCCCAACTAGCTGTAGTTACAGGTGTGAGCCACTGCTCCTGGCCCTTTATTTTTATTCTATGGCATTTTATTTCACCATTTTCACCATTACCACTTCCCACTGCTAGTTTTTAAATTTTTTTTTTTTTTATCTAGATTTTCTGCAGTTAACTACTGTGTGTTTAAATGTAAATTTCTTATTTATCTGGATGGGTTTCTTTTATTTTTTAATTGGTCCATAGTAATTACACATTTATTGGGCACATTTCATAATATGTGTGATATTTCATTATGTTTACAATGGGTGACAATCAAACTTGAGTAATTAGCATATCCATTACCTCAAGCATTATCAAAATCCTTTTTTTCTGGCTATTTTGAATAATATATTGTATAGTACATTAATATGAATACCTAATATTATTAGTGAACCATAGTTACTCTACAGTGCAGGAAAATGAGAACTTATTCCTACTCTCCGTAGCTTTGTACATGTTGTCCAGCCTCTCCTCAGCCCCGCTCCCCACCCTATTCTGGTAACCAACTTTCTGTTTTCCAGTTCTATGAGATCAACTTTTGTGATACCCAAATGAATGAGGTCATGCCTGATTTGATTTTCCTCTGTGCCTGGCTTATTTCACTTAGCATAACATCCTCTAGGCTCATCTATGTTGCCACAAATTACAAAATTTCATTCTTTTTAATGACCAAATAGTATTTCATTAGACTTCTTGAAACAGTGGTTTGGTATTTTTTTTCATTTCTTGAAAATTTCATCTGTTACTTCTTCAGAGATTGTATTTGCCCCAAGCCCTCTTTACTTTCCTCCTGATACCTGATTAAATGTATTTAAACCTTCTCGTTTTAGCCTTTATTTATTATTTTTTTACTATCTCTTCTTTCATTTTTGCCTCTGCTCTCTCATGAGTGCTTCTTTCCCTGACCTATCTACCAGTTCACTAGTTCCCTTTAACTGTTTGATCTGTTGTTAAACCTTCCCTTGATTTTAAGTCCTTTGTTTTTGCAATTTTAATTTCCATAAGTTCTACTTATTTAAAAAAAAATTTTTAACTTTTTCATACCTTTCTCTATAGCTATTTTATTTTTGGTGCTAGGGATTGAACCCAGTGCATGTAAGGCAAGCATTCTACCAACTAAGCTATATCTCCAACTCTTTCTACAGTTATTTTTAAACTTGTCTTTACTCTGTGAAAATTGTCAGAATCACAGTGGAGTCACTTGTATCAAGCCCTGTCAACAACAGAAAAATAAAGCCAAGAGGTTATGAACAAGGAGATCTCATGTACATATGTTTGAAAACAAAAACTATCACAAAAGACTTCGAGAACCACAACCTTGCAGGATGGCCACCACAGCCTTACACAGAAAATACTTCTGCAAGGACATCTGTCCAGGAACTGTCTATCTAACCTTAGACTGACTCCACCCTTGCTATTGATCCTTGTAACCAAGAATAGTTGATCCAGAACCCTCCTCATTTTGCCTTTAAAATCTCCCCCTTGCCATATCCTCTTTCCAGTCAACCTAGGCATTAAATTTAATTAATTAATTAATTATTATTATTATTTTTTTTAAATATTTCATTCTTTTTTTTTTTAAAGAGAGAGTGAGAGAGGAGAGAGAGAGAGAGAGAAAGAATTTTTAATATTTATTTTTTAGTTCTCGGCAGACACAACATCTTTGTTGGTATGTGGTGCTGAGGATCGAACCCGGGCCGCACACATGCCAGGCGAGCGCGCTACCGCTTGAGCCACATCCCCAGCCCCTAATTAATTAATTAATTTTGACAGTCCTAGGAATTAAACTCATGTCCTCAAGCATGCTGGGCCAGCACATAACCACTGAGCTGCATTCCTAGCTCTTTCTAGATCTCTTTGAGTATGCTCATATGACACATCCATGTCACACATCTTCCCATTGCAGGCTTTTTTGTCCTGAATAAATTTATTAATCTTTGGAGAATCTTTTTCTGTTTGTTATTTAGGATGACAACCTCTTTAAGTATATTAAGCATTGTCACTTTGTATTCTGTTTAATTTAAATCTCTGAAGTCTTTATGAATCTGTTTGTGTCTGGGCCTAGTGGTATACACCTATAATCCTAGCCATTTGGAAGGTTTAGGATTCAGAGATTGAGGCCAGTCTGGGCAATTTAGCAAAACTCCTCCAAAAAAACAGGACCTTCTTTCTGATATCTGTTGTTTCTGTTGGTTATTGTTTGTGAAGTCTACTTTCCTTGTGTACTAGGTAATCTTTGTGTCTGCTCATTTTAGTTAAAAATACTGTGTTTTTTGGTATATGTCAGAATCCCATTCCAAGACAGACTTAGTATACTAATATCCATGGATATTCAAGTTCCTTATTTTAAATGATAGGGTATTTATAT